GAAAATATGCGGCCTTTTTTTTTTAAAGACCTTTTTAGCCTCCTTCTTGGCGAGTGACAAAACCAGCCCCTGACTTTACAATACATGTTAAATGAATGAGAATCCGTATTATTTAGCGAGGCATTAGCAGATTTAACCCCTTTTATGAGAATTAAATAAATAATAACCCCTTTTTTTAAATGTCATTTGTTTTTTTAACACAAATTGCTGGTTTTGCAATTAAAATTTATCTAATTTTAATTGGAAAATGTTCACATTAAATTTTATTGCTGCCTTACAATTATTGATTCTTGATGAATAATAAGTCTTATTAGTTATTCTATAATAAAATATAGCATACTATATAAATGCAAGCTAATAATTATTCCTCCATTGTTTAACTTGTCACTATTGTCATCTTGTAACCATTATTTACTTGTACCTAACTAATCACTTGAATCAGTTATCAATTTCACTGTTATCAACTAATCATTTGTTGGAGCAGACCAAGAACTATGAACGGGGGAAGATGAATCTTCTATACTTTTACCAACTATACTTTTTTGTTGAACTTATCTTTTTCAATAAGTCTTTGTTTAAAAACTAAAACTTATTTAACTTTTAAGTTTAAAAACTGGTCATGGCTCAATGATTTATTAACATTAAAAAGGGGCTTTTTTGTTTGCAAGTCTTCAACTTGATCCCAAATAGGGATACTGTCAAGTTTCATCCAACTTAAAGATTTTAACTCTTGTTATTGAGAATAATAACAGGTCAAAGGTTACTTACATATTCTTGGCTTAATTATGATTGTAAGATGAGTTAGATAAATAAAACTAACATAAGGTAATTTGTATTTCTTTGGAAGAAACATAAATAAATGATCCAGCTAGGCAAATTTTGAATTTGGCTTCACACCCATTCCTTTCTTTCTTAAACTAGAAAACATTTTTTTTAGACAAAAGTATTAAGAGTGCAGCGATTTATTTACTTTAAAACTTTATATTAAACATCTCATGTGTAGCAGCAACCAAAATACTTTATTACCTGTACGTAATTTATCGGTCACAACTTTCGTTTTCGCAAGTTTAGATGCGCGCGCATTTTTTAATATTGTGTAATCAAGAGAAGAGAACACGTGCTGTGTGAGAAGAGAACACTAGCTGCATTTTCAATAAATTGTTAGAATTAAAAACATTTTACATTTAATAGTCTTTACATTTTCAGTTCTATACATTTAAATATTAAAAATTAAGTATTAAATATCAAGTTTTATTTTTAAATTAAAATTAAATAAAAACCTCCAAAAAGAGGAGATTTCATATTTTTTTCTGAAATCCCCTGGAGCCTTTTTTTTGGCCTTAAAATCCGGAGATCTCCGGGCAAATTCGGAGATATGGGAACCCTTTATATATATATATATATATATATATATATATATATATATATATATATATATATATATATATATATATATATATGTATATATATATATATATATATATATATATATATATATATATATATATATGAGAATAATTTTAATAATATACACGAGAATGAATTTTAGTAGATGGCATAAGAGACGCTGCTCTAAAGAGCTAGCGTCTCTTATGCCATCTACTAAAATTCATTCTCGTGTTACTCGTCATTCAATTAAGTCTCATCCTTTTTCGGTTACTGTTCCTAAGTGCTCCAAAAACTCTTTTTCGTCTAGTTTTTTCCCACGAACATCAGTTCTTTGGAACTCGCTTCCTTCATCTTGCTTTCCTGATTCATATAATTTGCAATACTTTAAGTCGTCTATCAATCGTTATCTTGCACTACAATCTTTTTCTTTTCTCTTCCAGTAACTTCCAACACTAATTAGTGGTTGCTTGCAACCTTGTTGGAAGCGAAGATAATTATATAAATACAAATATCTAAATATTTTTCATTAAAATTTAATTTTTTTTTAGTTTTTTTTTTTTATTAGGATTTCAAATTTTAATAGTAAATAAAAATGAGATAAAACATGATAATTTAAGAAGGTAAAGATTCAAATTAAAATCAAAAATTAATATGTTAAAAATAAATTTAATATGTCAAGTAAAAAACAAGTGATTACTCCTATTTAAAAGTTTCAAAAGAAGTCAAGTTCATTGTCAATTATCAAAAGTTTACTTTTTATTTTTTTTTTAAATTGATCAAGGGAAGAAATTTTTTTAAACTCATTATCCAATCGGGTGTTCCATATTTTAGGTCCTCTGATTGATATCGAGAACCTTGAGCAAAACTTCCTGGAAAATTTCAATCCTAGTTATCTAGGGTTGTTTTGCAAATTTTAATTTGCAAATAGAATATATAACAACATTTCAATAGTGCCCTATAGTAATTATATTCAATAGTAATTTAAATAACTATCTCTATTATTCTATCAATAATTTTTCAAGTTCAGAAAAAATTTTTACAAAGTCAAAGGTTTTTTTTTTCTTTAGAAATATCAAAATCGCAATAATAGAGCTTTTTTGGTAGTAATAAATATTTTAAAAACCTATTCATTTAACAATCGCAGGGATACGACCACATTTTTTTTGATTTATATTTATAAAAACAACAACAACAAATGTCTAAAACTCATATAATGTTACTTCTATTACTGCCAATATTGATAAAAATATTTACAATATAATTGTATATTACATATAATAAAAAGAAATTAGGATTTGTAAAGTATTTTTTAGGTTAAAACTGTTTTAGTATTTAATTGGCCATCCTTTGTTTCTTATGACTTCCGCACATCTAGAAGGCATACTATCAACAAGTCTTTTTAATAAGTCATTTGGCAAAGCCTTCCAACCATCAAGAAGAATTTAGAGCAGATCATCTTCATTTGTTGCCCTACGATCTTGCAATTTTTTTATCCAAAATAGACCAAAGGTTTTCTATTGGATTTAAATCAGGAGACTGTGCTGGCCAAAACATAACTGGAATCAATTTAGATTCTAGATATCTTTTATTCAACCGTGCTGTATGTTTGGGATCATTATCCTGTTGAAAGATATAGTCACAATTAGGAAAAAAGTTCTTTTATACTTGGTCCAAGCTGGTTAACTAAGATTTTGTGATACAAATGCTGGTCCATAATGCCCTTCACCCGGTAAAGTTTTCCAACTTTGTGTGTACTAAAACAGATTGACCATTTTAATACAAAACAAATGGAGACTTATCGCTCCAGATAACTTTAGCCCATTTGTTCACATGTCCAATCTTTGTGCTCAATGCACCACTTTACAGGCTTTTTTATATTGATTTCACTAACAAAAGGTTTTTTAATTTGCTTTCCAGAAAAAAAATCACTTGATGCTTTAATCCTGCGAGATATTGTCCACTTTGAGATATTAGTAAGGTTCAAATCTAGTTTTATCTCAGAACAAGTGATTTTACGATTTTTTTTGAAAGCATTAAGAATGTAGCGATCTTCCTTTTTTGAAGTTTTCGGTTTTCGCCCAGATCCAACAGCCCTTTCAGTTTTACCATTCTGTTTGTATTTCTTTACCAATCTACTATTAGTTGAGTTTTCTCGTTTAAAACACTTTCCAATGCTTCTGTGAGACTCTCCTTGGTCTGCAGCTTCATTAATTCGTCCAATTTCTACATCTGTAAGATGTTTTCTAAAATATTAAATGTGTCCATAATAATCTATTTTTTGAAGATTTTATTTATATAAATATTAGTTTATATAAAAGCATACCTTTTCTGCCCTATATTTTTCATTGCCACATCCAATTTTTTTTGTTTTGCATTATTATACATGCTTAAAATATAAAAGAAAAATTAGTGTGGCTTTTTTTTGCACCCCACTGTACTTTTATAATTCTATATACATATTTTTTGACTAAATTGAGCTATTTACAAATACACAATTATAAGATTTAAAATTTAGTTCCTTCTGTAATTCAGAACTTCGTCTCTTAGAAGTAATAAAAGGGTCAGAAAAGTGGAGCAAATTTTGCATTACATCTTTATTTGTAATTTTTCTATAAAATCTTCTTGTAAAATGTTCTGGAAAATTTTTAATATCTTTGTTTCTACTTTCCTGTGCTTCTTCAGATAAGAGGCCAATTGAAACTGGCTTGTCTCTTACAACCTGGTGTGAATGAACAATCATCTTGTGTTCATTTTAAATGGTATCCTATGCTCCAGTAGCATGGCGATCTATACTGAAGGCCTATTCATCGCGCAACAGTAAGCCGTAACTGGGGGCCTAAATAGTCTGTATAAAAATGCGTAGATTAAAAGCATGCACGTTGTAAAGCTTTCTAGAGAATTTTAAAATTAATATTTTTTATTCTTTTATATCATCAAATATTTGTGGTTTTTAATTTAATGGTTTTTATGTTATAAATTTTATTAAATAATTTTAATCTGTATTTTTGCTCTCAACTTTTTTGATTCTTAACAATGTTAGGAGTTGAAAAGTTAGTAAAAGAGTTACATTATTTATGTCTTCATTTTGGCTGATAATCTATTATAGTTGAATCACCTTATGTTATTAATTGCTTACTTTTATAATCTCTACAATAACTTATACTTTCAGATGCCTAAAAAGTGTTGTGTATATGGCTGCAAAACAAACTATCAAAGCACCAAAAATAATGAAAACTTTGAAAAAGTACCAGTTTATCGATTTCCTAAAGATAAAGAACAAAGAAATATTTGGATTCAAAGTGTTCCAAATTCGAATCTTTTAGTTACAGATGAAACTGTTATTTGCCAATTGCATTGGCCAACATGTTTTGAAACAGTTACTGTACATGGAAAACAACGACCGAAGATTCCACCATCTGTATGGCCTGGAATACCTATAAGTCAAATACCTACTCCATTACCACGTCTGCGAACAACCCAGAAATCTTTTTTTTCATTTTTGAAATGTTGGAACTGATGTCATTTTTGAAATGTTGGAACTGATGAACTAAGCACTTTTTCACTTGCTGATATGGCAACATATAATGATTTTAAAGATGTTTTATTAAATAATCTCAGAACATTTTCATTTCCATTGGTAACATATATGGTTGGAAAAACAATTACTATTCAATCTGTTATATTTAATAACGGTATTCCTCAATTTCTTGTTAAAATTTTTGAGAATTTGCATTTTGAAACTTTCCATTCAGGAGTAAAATGTTTTATAAAAAGTTTATCTAGAAATCATATAACTATTGTTGATTCCTGGTCAAAGTTTGAGGAAATTATACATTTTTTAAACGTCATGTAGACAGATCATAAGAAAAAGGTTATTCAACAACAAATCTCAGTTATGTCTGCGAAACTTATTGGAAACAAAATATATGACTCAGATGTAGTTATACGTAGTTTCGAATATTTTTCGACATCTCGTGTTTTATATAATCAATTAAGACATGATTTTCAATTGCCTTCAACTAGTACTTTGACACGTATTACATCAAAAGTTTCTAAAATTGATGATGCCAGTTTTTTGAACTCAGTATTTAATAGCATTAAAGAAAAAAAGAGAATTTGTATAGTTATTCATGATGAAGTATATGTGAAAAAGATGTTGCTGTACCATGGTGGAACATTATTCGGTAAATCTTTGTATGATCCTTCGTTATTAGCTAAAACTGTGTTGGGAATTATGGTTGTTTGTCTAAAAGGTGGTCCTAAATTTCTATATAAGATGATACCAATTTCAAAATTAAACTCAAGCTTTCTGTTTGAACAAATAAACTCCACAGTAAGACTTATAAAAGCATCTGCTGGTGATGTCAAAGTTGTTATATGTGATGGTAATCGTGTAAATCAAGCTTTTTTTAGATTATATCGTACTATTCCAGGAAAGCCTTGGAAAACAGAGGATGGGATGTATTTACTGTTTGACTTTGTTCACCTTTTGAAAAACATTAGAAATCTATGGCTTACAGAAAAAGCTGGGGAACTACTGTACAATGATAATGGTGTTCAAAGAACAGCCAAGTGGGAACACCTTAAATGCTTATATAAATTAGAATCAGAAAAGTTATTCAAATTATCAGACTTAAATAAAGTTGCAATAGCTCCAAAGCCAATAGAAAGGCAAAGTGTTTCTACTTGTCTTAGAGTTTTTTCAGATAAAACATATCATGCCTTACTGAGTCATTCTCAAATAAATTCAAACTCAAAAAATACTGCAATTTTTATAAAAAAAGTAACAACTTGGTGGAAAATTTTGAACGTGAAAGGTCATGGAGCTGATGTGAGACACAATGAGCCTTTAGAAGCACCAATTTGTAGTCGTGATGATTACCGCCTTAATACTCTTCTCCAGTTTGGTGATATGGCCCTTGAAATGTGCTGTAAAAAAGGCACAAGAGTTGGGCAGTTATCTAATGATACTGCAAAAGCAATTCACCATACTTGTTATGGCACCGTTGAACTGTGTAAACACTTATTAGAAACTAGTCATGATTATGTTCTTCTTGGTATGTTTACAAGTGACCATTTAGAAAAAGATTTTGGGAAATTAAGACAAGATTATGGAGGTACCTATTTCATAAATGTTCAACAAATTATAGAAAAATTGCATATAAATCACACATCGCTGTTATTATCTCTAAATGTTGACATAGATTATTTTGATTTATCTTCGGGTCATAATTGCCCCTCTTGCACATATGTCTTATGTGAGGCAGGTAGTGAAATATTTGACAATTTAGAAAAACTAGAATCATCAATATCTGATTCCACCAAAATGTCTTTGATATATATTGCTGGTTATGTATGTAGAAATGAATACAATGAAAGTAACTTGTTCGAACAAACAATGCTTTATTATGAAAAGTTTGGTGGCTACCTTAATTCTATAGATCGTGGTGGTCTTAAAATTCCACTATACAATGTATGCTAATGGGTCTTTTTTTGTTTTATTTTGTTTCACTCTATTAAAGATAAAGTATGTCGGCAGTCCTTGAGTAATATCTTTTTGTTAGTTTCAGAATTTTATTTTTTTGAAATTAAACACACTTATTGTAACACACTTGCTAATATTTTTTTAAACAATTATTGTGCACAAATTACACCGAGGTCTAATAAAGAGCCAGCATTAAAAGTGTTGAAGTTGTCATAAATTTATTTAGAAAAAAACAATGTGTATTTGATATTGTTTGAGATAAGACTATTGAGACTATTTTCTTTGTTTTTAACTTTTCTTTTTCATTAAATAAAAAATGAGAACTCATTGTTGCTTTTTTCATTTATAAGTATTCCTATATTGACTAATTAAATTTATTAAAAAAATTTAATTAGTCAATATAATATTTTTTCCTGTTTTTTGCAACAATTTTTACTTTTGCAGAGTGTGCATGAAAATATTCACAATATTGTATCCCTGGTCGTCTTTTCTGTTCAATATGTAACATTCAAAACAATAAATACAGAGATGAAGAGTGTGAATTACAAGGTCCAAAAGCATAAAATTAAATTGACTATTGTAAGTCAATTACAAAGTTGTTCATTTTTTTAAAGATATATACCGCATATTTTGCAAATTTGATGAGAATCACTTAATGGAGAAAGAAGAGTGTAAACTTTCCGATAAATCATAGTACATTATAACTTGTTTTTAACCTAATATAAGTTTATGGTTGTTGTTTTGAGTTCATGGCAATCATATCCTGCTTTAAGAATTTGCTGATTTTCTTTAACGTATTGCATTCGAACAGGAAGACAATATTAGGGTGAGGATGTTTTGGGGTTAGTCCAGTTAGACAGAGGTACTGTGCACAAAAGAAACTCTAATTAGAACTGGTAATCTGTCCTCTACATATTAAGTTCTCTGCTTAAAAACAAACTCTCCAGAAGAAACTTCGAATCCGAAAAAGTCTAAGGTAGCTTCGATTTGTGCATAACTTTCCGAATTCTGTTTTTAGTGTGATCCATTATTCCTTGAAGACTCACAGAAGCACTGTAGTTTCATGAGAAAACTCCAGAATCTGGAATGCAATCACTTTTAGATTTCACAATAAATTTGTACGCAGGGTATAGCACGTAACCTTTATCTAAGGTCCCTTAACAGATAGTTTGATAGTCAGTTCCTCGTAGTCAGGATCAGTTTTTACGGAATTTGATTTAAAGTTAAAGTAAATTAAATTTAAAAAAATTTAATTTACGAAATATGATTTAAATCATATTTGTAATATAATTATATTTTACAGTAATGTATTTGTAATATATGGTATATTTAATTCTAATATAATTAGAAGTACCCATCGACTTAAAGATACTATTCACAACGCTTGATTTAAAAGTTTTAAATGTCTGACTGGAAATCCCTTTGAGTGTAAATTATAATATTTTTATTTTATTATTAAATTTAGAAATTCTTAAAATTATTATTTTAATAATTTATAAATTTAATTATAAAATAAAAATACTATAATTTACTATAAATTTAAGTTTAGATACTCATTCTACAGTTTAACATTAAAGCTAAAGCTTTAGTTTTTAGAGCATGATATATTAAAGGATCCATCAGTTATACTTTCCATCAATTGTTTAATAATTTAATTGAGAATAAGATTAAGGGCATGAAACAGGCTTTCAGTGGTAACACCAAAGTTTTCAGTAATCTCTGAAGAACTTTTTTCTTAGATATTGTTATAAGATATTCGAATGATTTTGTTTTAAATGTTGTCCTTTTTTTTATCACTCAACTTGCTGTTGAGGTTCATTTACAATGAATTCCATTTTCAACTAGATCTCGTAACGATTTATAAACCTTCCTTTTTGTCTAACTGACTTATTTAATTTCATTTGA